CTGAAATTTAGGGTTATAATTTTAGGGTAATAGATATATACCTTTGATTTTGGTTCACCTTCAAAAATAATTACCCAAATATATTAAAATTTTTAAAATTATTATTATTATTATATTTAAATTAGATTATTTGAATTATTTGAATTATTAAAATTTTATCTAAATTATTATATAATATTCAAATTATTTAACTATAATCAAATAAATATGTTCTACCTTTAACAAACATAATGTCTCGTGGTAAATAGGTTGCAGCTCTGTTGAAGATTGTACTAGTTCAGGCACGGGATCGAGAGTAATAACTTTCTATATTAGATTGATCTCGGCCTTTAACTGACTCACACCAATAGGTGATAATATAGATGATATTCCAGGATCGCTTATTATTTCACGAGTAATAGTACTTCGTGTCTGGGGCTGAGAATTTACCGATAATTCTGGACAGGTTAAAGACTGCTTTTGTTCTAATTTCGTGACTCTATCTCTAAGTTCGATATTTTCTGTTCGGCTTTGCTTTGCATTCTCAGCGTTTTCTTTGTGATCTGATCTAATTTCACAAATCTGATCTTAATCTCTTATATTCTCAGCCTCGACTTTTACAAATTTCTAAGTTCAGGAATCTCAGCATTCTCCTAACTTCAGCAATATCAGATACAGATTTAATATTCAATTTCATCAATAAATCGATTATAGATTGGGCGTCTTCTATTATTTTATACAAGATGGTATATGTTCAAAAGTTATAAAATCACGTGCGCGTGAAAAATTATTTCGGAAAAATTACTATTAAAAAATAACATAATACATTGTATGTCCTTTAATCGAAAATCTTTATTAGGACAAAAAGTATAAAAAATAGATTAATCCGGACAATGTACGGGACATCGTATACATGGTAGATCATTATTATTATTATTATTATCACCAATATTGTTATAATCATAATCATCAAAAAAATTAAAATTATCATGCGCTGGTGATGATTGTTGAGATGATGATTTATCTTTTCGACGTTTTTTGGTTACATGACCACGACCATAATTGTAATTTATAGATCTCTTCGTGCGAAGATTATATTTTATTGTTGCTGCTGTTGCTGTCGCTGTTGCTGCTGCTACTATTATTTCTGTTGTTGCTGTTGCCGCTGTTGTTGCTGCTGTTGTTGCTGTTGCTGCTATTATTTCTGTTGTTGCTGTTGCCGCCGTTGTTGCTGTTATTGTTTCTGTTGTTGCTATTATTTCTGTTGTTTCTGCTGTTGCTATTATTTCTGTTGTTGCTGTTGCCGCCGTTGTTGCTGCTGTTGTTACTTGTGATGATGACGATGAGTCGGCATTCAAAATTATCCTAATTTAAATTAACGTGTAAAGTATTATTATTAATATATTGAATTTATAATGCAATAAATTTTATTTAGATCATTTACCTGATTGTCATGATCGTTATTATCGTCGTGGTTATATTCGTAACACTCATTAGAATTAAATGTATGTTTTGTAGATCCTTGTTCTTCCGAACAGAATAGACAAACTGGTTCACGTCCAAGACATTTACAGTGAAAAACGTGTCCACAAGTTAATATTGTAATACTATCGGTTAATTGCGGAAGTAATTCTTCGCGACAGACACCACAGAGGTCTGACTTTTGATATTCTTCCGGAATTCGCTCGGGTGTTTCATAATAAATGATTTTGTAGGCGAATCCTTTTAACTGGGTCTACACGGAATTTTATAAAAATAAGTTTATTTAATAGATCGTATATATAACATCATATTGTTTTTATTCTTACTCTTTTATATTCTTTAATTATGCCATCCCAGTATGGCGTCAACCATTTTCCTAAACGTTCATATTTCACCTGTTGTGAAAAGCGTTGTTAGCAGTGCATCAACTTTTTTATTAGGTAATAAAGGTACATAGTCGATTCCTTCTCCGGAACCATCAGTCCTTTACCAAAGCTAGCGTTTGGACCTGAGTAGAAATTGCTATTATAATAATTTACTCTAACATTTTCTCGACAGGTCCAAACACTACCAACGACAAAGTTTAGGTACCTGAGGTGAGGACTTGGAGTGGGTACCAAGCAAACAATCCCAGTAATTCTCCTAAACCAAGACGAAACTCGACTAGGGGGTTACCCTTACTTTGCAAAATAAAAAAACGCACCTTGTTTTTTATTTCAATTAATGTATTTCGGTCCTGCTCCAATCTTTCTGCCTCCTTTATAAAATTGCCGGCCCAAGTATTGTCAAGGTCTTGAGTGTTAGTTGGAGATAAAGAAGAAACTATGACATCTCGATTAAGCTCGAGAAAACTGCGGTACGACGCCTTGTTATAGGTTTGTAAATAGGTGACCAGAACTAAGAAGTTAAATATTGATTAGAAATGAATAAAATTTTATTAAAGCCAGATTGCAAGTTATAAAACTTACCGTTGTACCCGATGTATGGTTCGTAAGTAGACATTGTGAAAATAACGAGCTTTTATTTGTTTTTTAAAAAAGTCGACGCGTTCTAAAAGAATTGTGAAGCTGTATTTATAGGGAAATCTTTCATAATTAATAGTGATCAGCATTTATGATTGGTTAAAATGAGAAAATTACGTTTACGTGATTTATTATTTACGTGATTTGTTATTTACGTGATTTGTTTTAACGTGCTAAGAAATTTTAATGGTTTATTGAATTTCTATAAAATTTATTAAAAAAAAATTACTTTATTATTTGTAAAAATATAAAAGATTTTATATATAAAGAAAATAATAATATTTTTTATATAATCAATTGATTAATGGGTTTAATATTAGCTTGTTTACATAATTTATCTAAGCAGTAAAAAAAATCTTTTTTATATCAATCACAAAATCTTTAAAAATTTTTCTTTTTGACAATTTCAAAAATATTTAAAAAAAACACTTATAAAAAAAAATCTTATTAAAAGATATTGAATTTAAGAAATATTATTTAAACAAATAAACAAATATTTATAATTTTTATTAAAAAGAAGAAAAAACAAAAAATATAATTTATTATAAGATTAAAAATAAAAGTTAATATTATACTTTATAAATTATTAATTAATTATATACAGATAGACCTCTCTAAATGCACCTTTTATAAATGCACTTACTATATTTTCTCTCTCTAAATGCATGGTCAAGCTTGGTCCCAAGTATATAAAACTCTTAATAAAATTATTTCCATAAATGCAAACCCTCTATAAATACATATTTTTCAAAAATTTTCCTATGGTTCCGAGGGGTGTGCATTTAGAGAAGGTTCACTGTATCAAGTTAAATACTTTTCTAGATATTATCAAAATTTTATATTTGATTAGATTATATTTAATAAATTAATATGTTAATACAAAATTAAAAAAATATTAAAATTTTCTCTTTATTATAATTAAAGAAAAAAGTATAAATATTAATAATTTTATAAACTAAATAATAACTATTATATAATTAAATTTATTTTAAAAGTAAAAAATCAATAATAATTTATTTTTTAAAAAAAATTAATAATAATATAAATATATATTTTTCTATATTAGAACAATTAAAACAATTAAAACAATTAAATAAATATATTTAATTTTAAAAATTTAAAATTAATATCCAAATATATTTTGTTTTCAATATAATAATAATTAATATATAATCTGTGGATCTATAGTATAGTAGTTAACACTTCACAGGTCAGATCACAAGATACCAGTTCAATTTATATATATTGCTGAAATTCATAGATCCTTGACGCAATTGACGTAATTATTTGATACAATTAATTGAGTCACTATTAAAACATATAAATAATTGAGTCATGGTGCAATTATTTTTGAAGATTTTGGGAATTGAGTCAACAGCAAAATAATTTATACCACATGTATAAGTTGTACCATGTCACGTCAATGTTCGGTTGTGGTGTGTATTCTTTTTTCCATTTGTTCCAGGTTTCTTTGTCCAGTTTTCTTGTTTTTATTGTGGAGTTCGAGAAATGTGATATTACCTTTCTTTTGATTTCTTGTGGGTCAATAGTGACGTTCATATCTGATGTTTTGATTATTAGTTTGTTTATTGTGATACATGTTCTTTGCTGATCCAGGATTGTGCAGATCATTTTTTTGGGATCATGTTCCATTCGGAACATTCTTTTTTCTATTCGTTGTTTTATGATGGCTCTGTTTCTTTCTTGGTTTTCTTTTTACAGAAGGTTTCTTGTTGTTTTGTATATTTCTTGTATATTGTGAAGCCATTCTTTTGTAATTGCATTTTTAGCTGGCCTGTCTATTTGCGTGTCATTGTTATTTTTTTGTTTTTGTTCAATTTTATCTATTAGTTTAAAAATTGCTTACTTGGCTGTGTCCGGGTCACCTTTGTTTTTGAGGAGACAGTTTCCCCATGTGCTAATCTTCCTAAGTAAGAGTAGATGTTGTGTCTTTTCAGGTGAAGCTAGTTTCTTCCCTTGGTGATGTTTTGGATGTTTCCATCTCTTAATGTGTTGATGCATTGCTTTACTGATGACGTGCCATGTGATGTTTCAGAGTTTGTTGCTGTCCATCTCTGTTGTATCTTGTTTTGAATTTTGTTTTGTAATTTGCTCTTCTATTTGTTGTTGGAATTTTTTCCATTGTTCTGGGCTGGTGTTTTTGGAATCAAAGATAATTGTTTTTGGTGGTTTTTGTCATCTCTCCTATTGTTGAACTATTTTTGTAACGTTGATTTCACATGTGCAAATGTCATAATCACTGTGTATAAACATGTTTGATGTAGTAATATATGCATATATCAAGTTCCATTTCTGTCCAGAGGACATCCATATATAGTCTATTCGGGTGTGGATGTCACGTGAATTGGATCAGGTGAATCTGCGTCTTGTTGGCCATACTTCTCTGAATGTGTCTATGTGTTGAAGATGTGTTAATAGGGACAGTACTGTTGATGTTGGTAGTCTGTTTCTTTCTGCCGGGTTTTTGTCCATATAGGGGTTCATGAGAGCATTGAAATCTTCAATTGTAATTATGTTCCAGTCTCTACTTTGTCTTTCCAGTACTCTTTCTTGTATTCATTTTGCTGTTGATGAGTGTTCTGGGTTACCTCTGGATGGGATGTATACTCCGATGATACTGATGTGTTCCTTTCCTTTAAATTGCAGATCTATACAGATCCCTCTGCTGCTTAGGATGTTGATTTCCCCAATGTGATTTGCAATTCTTTCCTTGATCATTATCAGGATTCCTGTTCCTTTTCTGCTATTGCTCCAAAATGTGTGATATCCTTGGAATTTCCAATGCCTGTGTTCATCAGTTTGTATTTGGGTTTCAGTGATAATTGCGATGTCGATTGTTTGGTTTTGGCAATATGCCAGCCAGCAGTCTCTTTTGATTTGATTATTGAATCCTCTAACGTTGTGTATGACGATTCTTTAGGTAATATCCTGTGTTTAATGGTTCATTGTTTCTGTTGGGCTTGTGGTGCTTTCTGCCTGCTTTGTGTTATGTCTTGTAGATGGTTGTTATATGTTGTTACTTGTCAGATTTGCTACTCCGGTTGGTTGGATTTCTGTTGTTATTAATAGGTTTATTGAAGTGATTTGCCTGGTTCATTCTTTATTGTTGTTCTTCATTATCTTGGGTTTGAGGTGGGTTGTTTGTTATGTTATCTATCAATTGGTTGAGTGTACCTATGACCATTTGGAATGTGTTGTCTATGTTTGCCATCCTAGAGTTAAGATTGCGTTGTTGGGTCCTGATGTTGCTTGTATCTGCTGCTGGGCTTGTAGCTGGTCTTTTCCTCTAGTAGTTGAATTCTCTGGATTTAGAAGTAGTTGGCTGGGGATGGTTCTCCTCCAAGTATGTTTTTCTATCTTCAATCGCTCCTTCCATCTGGTCTTCGTCATCCACTGTGTAGAAGTAAGCAAAGTTTTCTAAGTATCCAATTCTCTAATTGAAATCGCCTATGGATTCCTTGATATGTTTGAGCTCTGATCCTATTGCTTGTACTGTTTTAAGTACTTCCGTTAGTGATTATTGTAGGTTGATCATTGCTGCTGGGTTGCCTGCTGTGAGTTTGTTAACTCCTCTTGTTGCGTTGCTTGTGACTTGAGCAAATGTTCCTCTGCTTTGAAATTGGCTTGTTGCTCTGCTGAATTGTTCTCGGGCCCTGATCGGTCATTGTTTGCTAATTTGTTAATTTGTTTGTTTTGAACTCTTCTGATTTGGTTTGTGCTTTCCAGTTTATATTTTTGATATAAACCATTGTATCTTTTTGCTTTTTTCCTAAGTGTTTGTTGCCTTTCTTGTTGTTTCGCTTTGATTTCACAATCTTTTGCTAAGTGGTCTGGTGCACTGCAGATGGTATATAACTTTGTGTCAGTTTTATGCCAGAAGAGTATTGTTTCTCCCAGTTGTGTTTCTGTATTTTTTGCTTTTTCTTTTGCCTCCGCTGAGGTAAAGTTTAAGAAAGCAAATCTTTTCCTTGTATAGTTCCTGTTGCGGGGAATGTGGCATGATGCTGCCTTGGTGGATTCGATTATGTTCCAGAGGTCATATCCTATAGTGCCTAGTGGAAGGTTTGTGAGCTTTAAGATATATCTATCTCGTGCCTCTTTAATCTCAACGATTTTAATGAATGGGTATATTCTAAGTAGTTCTCCTTTAAATGAAATATTCCATCTTGTGTTGATTTTCTCGTACTCCTCTTCTGTTTCGAATTCAGCTAGTGTGCTTTGCCACATGCCTGTTGTATTCATTCTAAAACTTTTAATTTTCCCATATTGGGTGATTTTTTGTCTTACTTCTTGTTGATTGGTGTTTAGGGAGAT